ACAAGAAAAACATAAACATATTAAACTAAGTAACTCAAGTAGCTGATTTTTAAATTAGGTCACCCATACAGTGAGATGGTTTACTCGCCGCTTACTGTTAAATTGACCAGACGATTCAGAATTACTTCCTAGCCTATCTCTAACTAATTCTTTACTTCCAACTGTTCACTCTGAATTATTGTTTTTATGGATACCTATTATTTACTACTATACGTGGAATGATTTATAGTATATTTAACTTGTCTTCTCTTGGTTGATGGTATGAACTAATAGATAGGTTCGAGAAAATAGATGACTTGACACTTAAGCTTACATTTGCCTCCTTCTACCCCCTCAAACGACCTGAAAAGATATTTGCATAATCACAAGAATATATAAAACACAGAATCTGCACATACATTGTTGTTATCGAGTTCTCTTATCCTTAATCAAGGCAATTTCTAAAGCGTTCCCTTGTTCCTCGAACAATGGTTGTATCTGACATCATTTAACCAAAAAATAATTAATAAAGTTAACTGGGTATGTCTATATGTTATTGAAAAACAATCATTGTGCACGTAAAGCTTGGGATTTTTATGGACCTAAGTGTTAGTATGCATAAACTTATGCTTGCCATCAGGGGTGGACCCAGACCTTTAGTATTGTGGGGTCAAATTTTTAAAAATAATTTTTTTAATAAACAACATAATATCAATGAAAATAGGTTAATATATATTTTGACACTTTGAAAACATCGTATAATTACATCATTATTTATATTATTAAATAAATTTTGCTACTTATATAATTTGTTTATCATTTCACTAGCAAATGCTGAGTTAAAATTGAGTAAATTAAATTGAAATAAAATTCAAGTTTAATTCAGGAAGTAAATTAAATTCAAATTTAAAGCAGATATAATTCGAAAGTAATTCAAATTATATTTAATCCGTAATGACCCTAAAAAATTTACATCATATTTCATGTAAGACTTCCGAATGAAATGATATAAATTATATTGAAAAATTTAT